AAGGGGTCGTAAATTGAGGCAACTGTTGCTAGAATCCCACGACGAGTCAAGGGGTGATCCTTTAACATCAAACTTAAAACAAAAGGTATCTGATTCGATGCACCACTGTATACCTAAAACCTTTCTCTGGCGAAAAACTCTTCTGACTGGGTTCAAGGTCAGTCTGTGTTACAATAGCTCTTTCAGACTCTGGTAGACTTAACATTACCTCAGAATTATTACAACTAATTTTGTGTAGCCGCAAGTTACCCTTTTCACAGATCTCAACAGCATTGTGAATGAGATCCTTCATAGCTTCTACACTTTGTTCCGACTTCAACCCATGATCAACATAGAAGTTGTTTTTCAAGAATTCTGAAGCATTTACTCCAAGGTGCTTGTAGTCCTTGGCAAGTTGTTTTAAGCCGAAGTTTGCACATGCTGGCGATGAAACAGCTCCAAACAAATGGACTTTCATCCTAAAGTCAACTGGGGGTTGCGTGAAGTCTTCGTCTTCCCACCACAAAAACCTGAGAAAGGCTTGGTGTTCGGGCTTCACACGAAACTGATGGAACATTTTCTCGACATCACACGTCAAGGCAATTGGGTGTTCACAGAACCTGCAGAGTACTCCAATTAAGGGGATGATCAAGTCTGGACCTGACAAAAGGTGGTCATTCAAGCTTGAACCCTGGTAACGCGCGCTACAATCAAAGACAACTCTTACTTTATTCGGTTTTCTGGGGTGGTATACTCCATGATGAGGTATATACCATGGTGTTGATGTCAGTGGCTCATCATGTCAGACCATTACTGCATCACCTCTCTTTAGTATCTCTCATGAAAGTGGTGTAATGATTTTGATATTCTGGTTTTCTCTGGAATTGTTTCAACAAGCCTATAGCACGATGCATGGCTGCTTGACGATTATTTGGTAACTGTGAAGGTTTCCCCTCCCTGAATGGTAGTGGCATTCCATAATACCCATCTTCTCTCTGCCGAGTACCATTTGACACAATTTCTATAATCTTTATGTCTTCCTGGAACATAGTCTTATAATCTTCATCTCTGAAGTCTCTTTCTACAATACTCAGCAAATCAGCAATGGTGACTTTTTTGATTGGAGTCTTATATACATACATCACATTTGTTTGCTTGTCAGGTTTAATGGGAGCATGTATGGTTCTGCTAACAACCGTGGGGGTGTGACCAAATGCATCACATTCCTCTGAAAGTTGAGTCTAAGATCCACCAACAATGTTCCAACCGAGTTTAGTTTCTACACCATATGGTTGATTGCCAGTGCCTAAGACGCAATTCTGAGGTGCTAAAGCACTTGGGCAGTTGTATCCAATTAACAAACCAACTGGGCAGTCCTGCTTAGGAGTCAGCAGATCTGCAATCCTATGAAGGTAAGACCATTCACGAGCAGTTTCAGGTGTTGCAATGTGGGACCTGTCCAGTGGGATATGATCTCTGGAATATGTTGTTGGGAGAGGAATCCTTGACGTAGAGTTAAATCCTCTCACCACAAGATTTTCATATTTATGACTTTCTACAAGGTCTCCCTTTGAAGTCATCGTTGACAAACGTAGCTTTGCTGGGCTAGAGTGTGCTTGTAGGTCCTCCCCGGTCTGGTCCAATATAAATGTGACATCTGACATAGTGTCGAGCAGAGCATAGACCAGCATCTCACTGCCTGGGTTTTCCTTGCACAATACCCATACTGGCACTACCATGGAGGAAACTGATTCTTTGTTACCGCTTAACACTTTATGACAGGTAGCTTCCCTTTGTTCAATCTCATGGGTTTCAGATGTCTTGTTACCTGATTTTGAGTATTTATCTCTGTAATGCAAACTAGTAGGGTGTTTCTTATGACAAACCTTGCACTCGCACCTGTTGATGCACTGTCTTGACATGTGGCTTTCTTCAAAACAACTAAAACAGAGGCCTTTCTTCATTATAAAGTCTCTTCTTTCGTCTATGGTTCTTCGGGAAAAGTTTCGACAATCTTGAACAGTGTGATTTCCCTTATCACAGAATATGCATTCATTTGATTTATCAACTGTTTGAACCGTAGTTGCTAATGACCTTTTCGAAGGTTGCGAACGAGAGTAATTATTCGACTTCCTGTAAGTATGATTACCATCTGGTTCCATTGCATTAAATTGCTTTGGTTCAAAAACTACAACAGGATCATTTAATATTTCTGACTCCTCCATAACAAAGGTAGCGAAGTCTCGAAACAACGGGTAACATCCACGCTCTCTTTTGTTTCTAGCAATAAGACGATTCCACCTATGACCTAACAATTCTGGTAGTTTAGATACTAATCTCCTGTTCTCTCTCATGTCATCAAGTATATGGAGTTCTCGGATTTCAGTAGCAGCCACAACACACTGTTGTAGTAGGTCTGCATATCTTCGTAAACCTGTTTTGTCCCTGGTTTGAATCTTTTGCCACAAATCAAGCTTTGATCTGAAGGCTTCCGCAATGACGAAGGGATTGCCAAATCTCTTTTCAAGAACACATTTTGCTTCCTCAAAGGCATTTTGGCTCTGTAGAAGAAAGAATCCACTCACTGCTTCCCTTGCCTGGCCTCCTAAATAACGTTTCAGGTAATGAATTTTCTCACCCTGTGGAATGCCTCTACTTCCGATCAAGGTGGTGAATGACGATATCCAATCTGGGTATTGAAGTGGGTCTCCAGTAAAGACTTGTGGTTCAGGAGTAGGTAGACGGCTCATAGCAATTGTCCGGGCAAATATTTCTGCTGTCAACTCTGAAGATGGTAGGTGAGCTTGAGTGTCTGTGTTCATGTTCTTGGTGTATGGCGTTGGAGGAGCACATTTCTCAGGAGGTACCATTTCCTTATTTACAGTTGGACAAGTGCTTAAGATAAGGCACTTTCTTTGACAGTTGAGATGTGCTGCGAATTGAATCAGAGTCATCTTCTTCATCGCTATACACTTTCAGTTTTGCTTCTTCTGCCTTCAACTCGGCAGCTAGTTTCTGTTCTTCTAATTCCCGTCTCAAATTAGACATTTTCCTTTCAGTATGTAAACTCCTTCATTTTTCTTCCAAACTTCTTTGGTTTTCTTCAAACTCAATTTGTTCTATCATTTCTTGTTTCTTGTTAAGGAGTACTTGGGCTTCCAACTTAGTTTTCAAGGCAGCTGCCTCTGCTGCGCTTCTCGACGTCGGTATGAACTGCTTGAAGCTTTGGAATATCTATAGACTGAAGATGCTTTTGATCCCTCATGCTTGATATGCAACCTTGACATGAGGTCTTTGTTGTTGTTAAATACTATTTGAGCTTTATCAAGTTGATTGATGGCCTGTCTGGAGCTTTCAGAAATCTTGTCGAGAGCCTTTCCTAACACTGTACTCTCTTCGCCGGGCAGGACACAAAGATGCTCTTCAACCACATCTTGCAATACTTTTAAGCAGTTTTCAATATCCAATTTGACTGCTGTCAATTTCTCTTCGTCTATGGTTGGCTCAGTTACAAGTTTTTGTGCATTATCTATAATGGTTATTAGATCAAAATGATTTTCCCAGAATTTACCTGTTAGTACTTCACTTCTATACTGTATTGCTTTTTCTGTAAGTTTCCGTGTTCTTTCTGACCTCCGCAGTTGACTTGTCTCTTTCTCAGTTTGACTTTCAACGGGAATTCCACTCAATCCCATCTGTGCCTCTGGTGGCACTTCATTGTCATGTGGACTAATGTCTGTTGGTGTGATGGCCTCATCAGCCATATCTGAAAAGAGACTATTAAACTGTATGGTTAAATTGAATCAAAATTGACTAAACACTAATTCACAATCTATTTCAAAAGGCAGATACGCTCACTATTTGGCTGGGAGTGTGGTAAACAAACAATCGCGACTACAATGGAAAAGCACAGAGCGCAAGAGTAAGCCAAGTACAGATGTCGAGCTTGCTAATAGCACAGATCCTAAATATGACACTAAAATTACACCAAGTTCAACAAATATTTGAATTATAAATGCAGAGTATCCTCAGTATGCAGATTGAGTCTTATTCTATATCACAATTCTCATTGGCTGCGACACCTGAGAGCTATACTGAATTCAAGCAAGTAACTCAATGTCCAACACAGTTCAACACAGTTCAAGTTTGATAATTAAATCAATGACATTCACTGTCTGCTTGTGTACACAAATGTCAAATGTTATATACAACATGCATGTTTCATACAATGTTCAAATGTACTGGATCTTGCAATCTTGTGTCTATATGTAACAGTCTTCTGTTGTCAACGGTATTCTGAAGAATAGCTGTATCCTCCATCTGCTGTATACAGTGCTTTCGAGTGTCCACTGATTGTCTTGATAGTAGCGAAACCTATCCGAGTGACATCTGGACGTTCAGCTTAGTATACGATACGATGCAGTGGATAGTGCAGGCAATTCCTTTCTTTGACCTCACAGCAATGACTATAGTTTCGACCAGAAATTGTTGACTGTCGAGTTTTGACTGTAGCTGCCCCAGTAACCAACGCAAAATACTGATGTAACCTTCACTTTATTTATGACGAACAATATTGAGAAGATTGTAACACCGTCAAAACTGTGAAATACAAGAGTATACGTTCAGAAAATAATAACATGAACTTGCGTATTCGTATTGTAATAAGTACCAGTGCTACTATGCAAATAGATAGGCAATGATATACAGCATAGTGCGCCACCTAGTGGTGAGACTAGACGAATCTATCGTACATGTACACACAGAATATGGTAAAGTTATACATGAATCTGAGCTCATACGAATAGATTACAAACTGTACATGGAATGTGACTTGCATAATCGTATAGAAAACGACTGAGAATCTTAGATGAGTGTCAACTCAACTACACAACTGACGGCGACTCGGCATGTAAACTACGCCAACGTAAATCAACTAAATCGATAAGGCTACCAAATTAAGCCTAAACATAACAAAAGTCTTCTTAAGTAATTCTCTAGTAACTCCTCAAACGTTACCTACCTCGTTGGCAGCATAAACGATACTTGGGCAGCGAAAAAGACAAAAACTAGATGCAGTGAAACGAGCGTTTCACTTCCAGTGAAAGCGAAAAATGGCGTCTGCCCCAATCCTCGTACAGAGCACGCACAACACCAAAAACTGCAGTGAGATAAATAAACGAGTGGGAGCACTAAAAGAATCAGGAACAAGTCTAAACAACAAAACTACAGTACCTATTAGTATAACCTGTAGTAAAATTCGGAAGAAGACGTCTTTCACGTGTACATAGCACGCCGACAAGTGAACGAGGCTAAACAAAGCGCGGGAACGCAGCAAAGTTTCGGTTGCTCGGGCAACGGCAGCCACACTCCCACCCAAATCATCCAAGATGATTTCTAAAAAGAGGAGGTATTCGGAATAAACAAATATCGCCTTATCAATGTAAAACATGTACGATCATGGTCAACTACTGTGTCTACT